GATCAACTGTGAACTACGATTAATATCTGTCAGAAAGTAAACATTTGCTTAAAGGAGGCGGAGTACACCAAGGGAACATGTGACACATCGTAGTACGTGGTTATGTTTTTAAAGTGGAATCTGGATTTCAGTCGACTTGCAGACCTATTGCACGGAAAATATAGTGAAACATAGGCATAACCGCACACCGGGACGGTTATTAGTTCATGCGAGTTCGTGACCAGACGATCTGACAAACGTTTTCAGTATGCGGAGAGTTATCCTGTTATGCTTTTTAACATTTATTAAGTTCAGCCTAACATTATCAAATCGACCTAGTGTTACAATTAAACTTGGTGAAATACTTGGAGTAAGAGAATCTTTCAATAACTTGGATCTTGGTGTCAATGCAACCCTAGATATATTCCGAGGAATACCCTTTGCTCAGCCGCCGGTTGGAGAAAATCGATTTAGACGCACAGTACCACTTACTGACCCATGGAATAAACCTTTAGATGCAAGTGAATTCAATAATGTTTGTCCGCAAACATCATCCGATTTTGATATGCCTAATAACAAAAGTGAAGATTGTCTATATCTGAACATATGGGCGCCGTATCCTAGAGTAAGTGTTGTAGTCTACTATTACAAATATTTATATTATCATCTCAAAGATATTTTGCAAGTATAGTATAGTGAATTTCAATAATGTTCGTTCTCCAAGAGAGCAATAGGGAAAATTGTTCCCTGTCCCATGAGTTGCAGGTTCACAATATGTATATTTATTAAAGTGGTAAAAATAATTAAAGTGATAAAAATATTATGCTTATGCTAGTTAGGTATTCAACAATATTGTAAGACCAAGGCCACACATATGGAGCTTATTGACAATTAGAATTCATGACTGAACCACATAAAATTACTTATTTGAATTGCTTAGTCCCTGTATAATAATCTAAAGATTATTTATTAGTTAATTTAAGAAACGCATGAATAATAATATTGTTTGTATTGTTTGTAGGTTATCACTATTTGTTTTTTTATATCTCTTTTGTGTATACTAATTTTTTGTTATCGGCACAAATTTCAAACTAAATTTAGATTTATAGACATTACTATCTCGAAAAATGATAATTTTACGATTTACTTAACTAATTTATTTGAATTTCAATATCGCTACAACATAAATATTTACCCATTGTCAAGTTGAGAAACAACCCCTTACCCAGTGTCTCTTGGCAAAATTCAACTAATATATCACTAATGAAATATTTAAAGCGCCGCCATGAATGTTTACAAATATTAAGGCTCAAACAGCAACGTTTTATTTTTTTTTAATGTCTTCTAATATCGATCCCCCACCCCCACTTCACTTTCACGCCTCCTTATCCCCCACGTTTCAAGACTCCTAGATACGCCACTGAATATAATGATTTTGCTGAAAAAAGAAAAAGGTTTATAATGTGTTTTTGTTGTGAGTGTCATCGCTCTAAAAGTATGTTTTGACGAGTTGGATATGGTCGAGGGGTTATTAGGCAGGAGCGCCGCAACCTACAGCCATAATATCGGCACTGGTTCGAACGGCACGCTCGCCTCGTTCTGGTGGTGAAACAAGTCTTCTCGGATATGGACTATAGAAACCGTAGACCTTGTGTACACAATTTGGCTCGTGTGCACTTAAAATAACCAATAATAAAGACGAGTAGGGGCTACGGGCTACCGGATGTACAGCACCGTCCTGTTGTGGACAGACGATAGTAACCGCTACCGGTTTACCGGGTGACTCAGACATGAAGTGACGCGCAATATAAATCTAACTACATTTCAATATGGTCGAATAGATAAATGCACATTCATTAGTTATATTTTTCATAATTTATTGTTTGATTTACATGCAGTCTGAGCCTCTTCCCGTGATGTTTTGGATTCATGGAGGGGGATTCATAGCTGGATATGGATCGAGTTATACTTACAATGCACGACCACTTGCAAGTTACAACAACGTTATTATGGTATCAACTAATTATCGGCTTGGTGCGTTTGGTTTCCTGGCAACGGGTGAGTAGATTGAGAGAGATTGAGATACAATTCGTCGCTTTGGTTGATGACAGTGCAATTTAAAATATTAACGTGTTATCCTTATGGCATAATCATGAACCAAATAAGATACCGGGTAATGATACACTTAATATATGTTTGCATGATGACTAAAGTTCGCCAAATTGTTACATGTGATAACAGTAAATTGGAAATTAATTGGATACCTTAACTTCATTTATACAAGGCCTGGGCGCGGGGTTAAGGAGAAGTTTACCAATTTTATATAATTTAGGAACTGGTTGAGTATAATCAGGTACATGATATCCCATTTTTCACAAGGATAGTAATAATGCAAATACTGTACCGTAACTTGTTTAGAACCAAACTAATCTTATGCATTACAATGTCCTGTCGCTAAACTCGGATTGATCAATGCACCTGCTGCGTCATCATCACACATGTGGTTGGGAGAGTATACCGTAACGAACGCGCACGAGATAAATGCGATATTATGTACCTGGTTATGCTAAAACAGTTTTTAAATTATATAAAACTAAACTTTTCCTTTAAATTCAACGTATCCTTTCTAAGTAAACAAAAGGACTAAATGTATAAATATCTCAAACAACCTTAAACAATTACAGGTCGGTGCTATATCTAGCAAATCAAAACATTTGATTATATATTTGTATTAAAGGTGATGAAGCTCTACCAGGTAATTATGGGCTCTTTGATCAAGCCGAAGCTCTCAAGTTCGTTTATGAAAATATTGCAGGTATGACGATACAGAAAGTTTATGATCCACAATTTTTAGCGAATAATAATACTTTTTGTATACTTTTATTACTGTCTTTGTATACTAAATATGTTGAAAAGTGTGGGAAAATGATATTCTTTCTATTGTTGTAACTTGAATAAATGAAAACAAAGGGACAACAAGTTTAGTAAATTATAACATTGTTTATCAAATCAAATCAAAACTTTATTTGTCCATTACAAGTAAAATGGAAATTCTTTTTCCACTGGCAAAAAACATGAAACACTTAAAAGTACTGCAAAAGCAGTATTTATATATCATTGTAAAAACATTTAAAAAAAACATGGCTAACAATTTAAATGATTAATAATCTGATTGATATTTAAAATTTTAAGAGGGTAGAGAAATAGAAATGCGTTTAAAACATTTTAAAAAGTTAAAATTTGCATGGCCTCATCGTTCACTTACGGTATTCAATAACAATTTTACTATTATTACCTGCGCTATAATTATCAGTGTGTTGAATATTTTTCAGCGTTTGGTGGCGATCCAAACAAAATTACCATATATGGCGAAAGTGCTGGAGGGGCAAGTGTGGGCCATCATCTCATTTCACCGATTAGTCAGGATTTTTTCTCACAAGCCATATTACAGGTATGAAAATAATTTATGAACATTTCGGAATAGAAAATTATGAGATCACGATTATTATTATTATTATTATTATTATTATTATTATTATTATTATTATTATTATTATTATTATTATTACTATCATCATCATCATCAGTATCATCATCATCATCATCATCACCATCATCATCATCATCATCATCATCATCATCACTGTTATTGGCTGTCTTTATGATCAGATGACCTAATGATGTTTTTCATTTTGTTTTGAAATGTCCATTGTATAATCAGGAAAGAAATCGTTTTATTCTAAATTGTGTTCCAAATCTGTCCTTTTTTTCACACTATTTAAGTCTAAAAAACAGTACGGTAAAATCATTATCCAATTTTATTGTTTGTGCGTTTAAAAAACTATCAGTTCAATTGGCACATGTATAATGTTTGTGTTATAAGGCAGTTGGCCTATGAATAAAGTATCTCTTCGGAGAGAATTGAATTGATATTTAATATAGGTTAAGTTTCATAACATATTCATATATTTTAACACATTTTAATATGTAGGATTATACTTAACATAAAACATTCTATAAGAATATTAATTTTTTGCAGAAAAAACATATTAATTGAAAAAATATTGTTTTTCGCCTCTATCAAAGACTTGTTATAATACATGAATAAACAAGAGGAACTATCTATAATTTCTTTAATGTTTTCATATTTTACTTTTTGTGTTATATAATTTTACAGAGTGGCAGTGCAGTAGCTCCGTGGGGCTTGGAGAAGGACATGGAAAAAGCCAGACGGGACGCCGATCAGTTAGCGTTTTTTACGGGCTGTGGAGCGGCAAAATCTAGCGCTGAAATGGCAGACTGCTTGCGGGATGTTGATCAAAGAAACATTACTCTGTCTCAGAATACGGTAGGCTAAAAATATGTCGGAATTGTGTTTATAATCATCATCATCTCGCCTCTTATGCCAATATTACTTATGTAGGTTCGTGTGGTGCAGCGAATAAGGTGTTGAACTACTTTAGATCGTGAGATATGGCGTTTGAAACCGAGGCTTTTGTCACATTGTTTGTGTCCTTGGGCAAGGGAATTTACTTACCTGTAGCTTTGCCTCTCTTCACCCAGGATGGGTACCGTATATAAAACATCAAACGATGTGCGTGTAATACAGCATGACCAGGAATAATTTCCAGGGAGCAGAAAGAGTTACACAAAATGTGACGGTTTTCCAACTCACCATTGACCAGGGTATTAGATGCTAGCGCCTCAGTGGCGTAGCTACGGGCAGTGCAAAGCACTGGGGACCAGGGCTATTAGGGGCCCATTCATAAATAGACCTAAAAAGACTTGGAAGTAAAATGATGTGTTACGGAGATATTCTGTACCAGTATGTATAGTAGATACATCATATTCTTAGGGTTATCTGCCTAGCACTTAACTAAAGATCTTTTCCACTCTCAGTTTTAATGTTCTTATTTTATTCCTGTTCAAATTCTGATGTTATTTAATATAAATAATGTAGCATCTTGGTATTTTGCTTTTGTACATCTCGTAACTGCCCAAGGCTTTGCAGCGTCATTTGCCAGTACGAAGAGTACGAAAGCAATGTAATTTTTTTCATTTTAGAAATCCAAATCTAGAAACCCTGAGCGACACCTCGAGGGAGACTTTTGAGCCGTGGTTGCCCTATAGTGTTCCTGGACTAGACTACAAAATATTTAACACAAACATGACGAACAGCAAGGCGTTGAGGGCGGAATATTGTTCATTCTGGAACAATTACATTCCACGATTAATGACATATACAGGTTTGTATCACTACTCATAATATTAACATTGTTATTAGGCCTAATACCTGTCTCTTATACACATCTAGATGTGTATAAGCAATTAATCTTGCACTGGGGCCCTTTCGCACCTAGCTACGCCGCTGTAGCGCCTTGTATATTCTTTGGATTGTGAAAGACGATAAATAAATTCAAATTCTAGAAAAACAAATAATGCCGTAGGCCTACCAGTAATGTATCTCAGCGAAACGGCAAATGCCTAGTAAAACCTTTGTTATCAGCTACAGAGGCACTGTGCCCACGTCTTTTGACGTATTTTTGCTTTTGAGTGGTTTTGCTATAATACCGATTATTATGAATGATGTGTAAGCTCAGATAATAATTTTTGTTTATTTCTGAAAAACATTGTTGATTCATTACAGGTGATTGCCCTCACGACCAATGTTATACCATTTGTTCCAGTGATAGACAATGTCTTTATACCCGGTGATCCATATACACTAATAAAAAACGGCAAGTTTAAGAAATGTAAACTTATGGTAGGGACTTGTCGAGACGAGGGTACTTTGGTCGCTGCAAGAGCGTTTCTACCACAGATTCCAGTAAAAGAGCCAATTGTTCGAAGACGGAATTTCCGCAATACATTAGAAGGTTACATCTACGCCTCAGACGAAACTGCTGTTGTCGATGCAGTTGAGCTCCAGTATACGGATTGGTCAGTTGCTGACGATCCAGATACTAACTATTTTTATAACTTTGTCGACATGAATACGGACGAGGCGTTTCTTTGCCCGTCAGATTTCACAGCGCGAGCGCATGCGCAAAGTGCCCAGGATGTATGGATGTATCAGTTAACGTACCTACCGTCAAATTCTGTTTGGTTTGATCGACCTGCATGGAAAGGAGTTGCACACGCCGAGGACCTACAATATGTGTTTGGATATCACTTTATTCCAGAGTTGAATCACACATTTTACAATGGACAGGAAGAAATCGAACTTTCAAAACGTATGATGAAATTTTGGGGGAACTTTGCAAAAACAGGGTAAGATTCGTTTAGGAATGTTTTGAAATTCAAATAGAAAACTTAATTAAAACTTGATATATCAAAGGCATATTATATTTCATGGCTTAGTTTTGAGGATTTTTTCAGGTCCCAGTTACTATTTCAAATATAAGTGGATTATGTATGTTATATAAATTATATTAGTTACGGTACTGTATTAGTATTAATACCGACTTGGAAGTAAAATGATGTGTTACGGAGATATTCTGTACCAGTATGTATAGTAGATACATCATATTCTTAGGGTTATCTGCCTAGCACTTAACTAAAGATCTTTTCCACTCTCAGTTTTAATGTTCTTATTTTATTCCTGTTCAAATTCTGATGTTATTTAATATAAATAATGTAGCATCTTGGTATTTTGCTTTTGTACATCTCGTAACTGCCCAAGGCTTTGCAGCGTCATTTGCCAGTACGAAGAGTACGAAAGCAATGTAATTTTTTTCATTTTAGAAATCCAAATCTAGAAACCCTGAGCGACACCTCGAGGGAGACTTTTGAGCCGTGGTTGCCCTATAGTGTTCCTGGACTAGACTACAAAATATTTAACACAAACATGACGAACAGCAAGGCGTTGAGGGCGGAATATTGTTCATTCTGGAACAATTACATTCCACGATTAATGACATATACAGGTTTGTATCACTACTCATAATATTAACATTGTTATTAGGCCTAATACTAGTGGTATACTGCTTTAATACTAACCCTTGCCTCTCCCTACCACAGCAATACAAATAATAGTACCAATAAAAACAAATGCAAATACAAATACCAATACTTTTAGGCATAAAAAACGAATGCTAATATTAAAATTGCCAAAACTATTATATATACTAATATCATTAATCCACAGTACTTACTTTGATCTAACAATATTAATACTTATAGGCTTCTAATACCTATGATTAACACTAACTGTGTTGATACGTTATTGGTCCTTGATCGAAAATAGGTCATCCTTAATATTGTATACATTAAACTATAATTAAAATCATACAGAATATAACAAAAGATAAAGAAACGTTAAAATATGTAATTAAATAAGCTATTTATTGTAAGATTGTGCTTATAGTTGTGGTTTTTGGGGTCTTTAATTTGAAAGAAATAATTGATTGAATACAATGTGAGGCTAGATATTGATAGAATGCTTGTTTCTTGTAAGGTTTTAATGATTTTTTTTTTTAAATTCCAGCCGATATAGACGATCTTCAAAAGCAGTGGAGAGAAGATTATTACGAATGGAAAGATACATCAATGCCCGATTGGTCTGCTACATTCGAAGATTACAAGCAAAATATGAATACATGTAATTGATACATATTTGTTAGGCTTTTGCTGGCATCCCCTTACAAGTTAAAAATCATAATCTTTTTAGATGTACAGTACCGTATACTTTAAAGGCTACACATTCTACTTATACAGTCCTTGCATTCTTAGAGCATCGGCATTGTATTCAGACAACTAATGTATAAACGTGTTTATAATATTCTGTTACGTGTTTTAAATTTTGGTTTACGTTTTTCAACATTTATAAATCTGGTTATACCATGCAAAATTGTCTATATATATATTGTAAAATTTTATTGTATGTAAATGCTTAATAGCTTAATAACTAGTTCCGTATTGTAAATAAGTTTTTATAATACCGTTAAATCTTGTCGAAAAAGAAGGTTTACATTTATGGCGTTTTACAT